TGTTTTTGAAAACAAAAACAACTGCCACATCAGCAATTTGTTGATGTGGTAGTTGTTTTTTCTTTTCAAAACAAAACCTGTTTTTTGTTTTCAAAATAAAACTAACCATGTTGTTGAACACCCCCTAGATTAGCCACCTATTCAATTACCCAGTCCATGTCAACTATGTATACTCCCATGAATTGGATCATCCCTCTCTTGATATATATTAAGTGTTCTTCCAAACCTCCTTCTAATTCAACATGCATTGTGACAAATCACCACCCAAGTTGGTGTGTCAAATCTTGTCATGTAGGATTTCGGATTGCCAAATAAGACGCCACTTGTAAATTGTACTTAATTACCATATATAAAGAGAACATGTGAGCTTTTATTTGTTTAATTATGATTGGCCTAGGCATTAAGGACATGCTTATCAAGGGACAAGGTTTTCCTTGTAATTATAAATAGGGTAAATTGCTTAAACCTCCCCTGAAGTTTTTGACTATTGCTAAAACCTTCCTTGTAGTTTGGTAATTGCAATCACCTCCCCTGAACTTTCTGATATAGTTGCAAGTAGACCTATTCATGGGCCAAGCCGGGCCGGGCTTTTATTCTTCATAAACAAGATTTTGTTAGGCTTGAGCCCGAGCCCGGCCCGACCAACGGGCCTACAACTTGGGCCCGAGCACGGCCCTAATAAAAAGCCCAAAGCCCGGGCCCGAGCTCAAAGCCCGACCTAACAAATAGATAGATTAGTGTTTGTGTCTATGTTCATTGTTGGTGCCTGTGTCTATGTTTGTGTTCGCCGCCAACCAAACAATAAGAGAATAATAGAACAAAAGGGCAAAGAGAAAGGACTCGCTACCGGTGCTTGTGTTCGCCGGTGCCTGAGTTCACGTCTGATAAATGAATTGAGTTGAGATTCTGAGAGGGAGAAGGAGAAATGAGAAGAGGAACAACCGAACAATGTAAAGAGAGAGAGAGAGAGAGAGAGAGAGAGAGGACTCACCAGTCACCGTTGGAGTTTCATTGGTTGTATTGGTTTTGTCTTCCTGAGAATGTTTGGCTATATGAGGTTGTGACTGAGAAGGGAGTTTGTTCGGCTAAGAAAAAGAGATGAGTGATAAGAGAGGGGGTTGATAAGAGAGGGATTAATATTTAGGGTTAGGGTTTAACTTATTACAAAAGTCGGGCCGGGCTTTTTTAACAAATCCCGAGCCCGACCTATAAAATAGTCGGGCTCGGTCTTTTAGGCCCGAGATCAAGCCCGCGGGCTAAAATACATGCTCAAGCCCATCCAGGGGCCAGGCCAGGCTGGGCCGGCCCATGAACAGGTCTAGTTACAAGTAGAGCTCCTCTGGTAGAATCTTCTAAAAAGAGGCATAAAAATGTTTAAAATGCCTATGCGGTTGCATTTGACAAAAATGTTTATTTTCCAAATTTTCTCCAAACCCTTCCAATCATTTTTTTATTCGAAATTCATTTATTTTTTAAATTTGTCCGTTATATCAATCACTCAAACGGATGCAACTTTAAATTCTCTTTGTTTTTATTGTTCATAAAGTTTATATTTTTTTGCAAAAACCATAACCAATAATAATTACATGGGCATTTTGGGCATTTCATGCCCTTTTTTTAGAGGGTTCTACTAGAGGGGGTCTACTTGCAAATGTAAAGTTAAGGGGAGGTGATTGCAATTACTAAACTTTAGGGGTGGTTTCAGAAATTTACCCTTATAAATATTTATAATTGGGTTTTGCCACTTGACAATCTTCTTAGGGTGTGTTTGATTTACAAGAATAGGCACCTAGAATTGGGATGGGAATGACCCATTCCAATTCCAATTTGGCTAAACAAAATGGGATACCTATTTTCATTCCAATAACCTTTATAGCCTTGCATTGGAAATAACTCCCATTAAATAAAACACAGAAGTATGGAAATATTCCCAATGTAAGGCTGTAAAAACTGTTGGAACGGGTCTTGCATTGACTGAAGCCAATCTCCATTCCAAACCCTCCTAGGAATGCAATTTCCATTCCCCCTTTATATTTTTTATATTTTTTTGACAAAATTACTCCCATTTCCTATTCAACCAACGGCCTAAACATTCACAAGTAAGCTAAGACCGGTTATCGGCCAACCTTCCTCTTCGCTCTCCCCTATTCTCTCTTCTTCCACCCCTTTTTTCTCTCCCTCTTCCTCCTCCCCTTTGTTGCCGCTGCTGCTAATATCGTCAGCAATATACAGTATTAGCAGTAACTTCTTCTACTGGCCTTTTTTTCTTTCTTCCCCTCTTCTTCTTCTAACAAGGAAAATTTTGAAATTTTAATTAATTCCAATTCAGACTTGTAGTTGAACAAAACACCAATAATTCGAATCCCATTCTAATTCTTGATCCAACCAAATAGACGTCAGGAATAGATGATTCCAATTCTGATCCTACACTCAAATCAAACAGACCCTTATTTTCTTAATCAAATTAATTACAACTTATCATTCCTTTCCTTGCAAGTTCTCAAGAATTAAAAATCAGTTATTTGTTAGAGTTGTGGCGTTGGAGGAAGAAGGAAGGTTTTTCTTATCATAAGAGCGCTTTGCCGTATTGCATAAAGGAAGAACAATAGCAGCTTGATAATTAATGTGCGGTTTCGATAATTCTAAGACTCAATCAACCTCACTCTTGGGACGTTAGATTTGTATAAAAATAGAAGAAAATGGGCCCCAATTCACAAAGTCAAAACTTCAAATTAAGACTCAATTAAAACAAATTAAATAAGCTGGTATTGAATTTGTTTCATACCAAAGTTGATATAGCGCAAGCAGTCGGTTTGTGATACTTTGAAAACATGCTCAAACGACGAATAAAAAGTAAAAACAACATTTCGTAAACTTGGGGCCATCGCCCATTAGCAGAGTGGTGCTGTAAGCCAAACATTCAATTTTTCATCTGCATTTCTGCAAAGCTTGAGCTCAGCCCAAGCCTTCTCTTCGCTCTGTCGTCATCATCATCTTCTTCTTTTTCATTCAAAGTTTGTTCTTTCTCAATCTCCTAATGTAACATATGCCCGCCGTAGGGGTGACAATTTTCTCCGACCGGGGTCAGGTATGGAAACTACTTTAGTAGGGTCGGAGTCGGGGATGGGGCCATCACTGAATCCTCAATCCGATTCAGGGACGGGGATGGGAATGCAATCCCTGCCCCGCCCCAGCCCCAATTAATATATATAATATTATATATTATTTATATAATATTTATATTATAAATATTATTATATTATATATTATTTATTTATTTGATTAATAAATAACATTATAATAATTTCAATTAATAATTAGTTAAACATTATACAAATTATAAAAACTCAAAAATAGTAAAAAATTTAAAAAGTAAAAGATTAAAATACAAAAACTAAAAATCTCTTGAGACTAATCTCTTTACTACCACTCAAACAGAGGACTGAGAAAGACTTAAAGAAGAAAGAACTAAACAGACTATAGTCTACATAACAGAGGTGGCAGCTAAAACTAAAACCCTAGTTCTTCCTTCATTTATCGTTGCTGACCACCATCATCATCGCCCGTCAAATGTTGGACGTCTATCGTCGCCGACTACCACTCGATAAGAGGACAGAGAAAGACTCAAAGAAGAAACAACCGAATAGACTACAAAATAGAGGTGGCGGTTGAAACTAAATCCCTAGTTCTTCCTTCGTCTATCATCACTGACCGCCGTTGCCGTCGGACGTCTATCATTGCCAACTACCACTCGACAGAGGACAAAGAAAGACTCAAAGAAGAAAGAACTTAACAGACTATAGAACAGAGGTGGCAGCTGAAACTAAAACCCTAGTTCTTCCTTCGTTATCGTCGCCGACCCCCCGGCTGTCGGACATCGAATGTCTATCGTCACCAACCGCAACTCGCAACGGTCCTCTCTCTCTCTCTTCCTAATGTCTTTGTGTAATTAGGGATTCGGGTCTCCAACAGGGAATTCATCCCCTGTCGAGGTTTGGGTAGAGGTGTAAATTGGGTCGTTCTGCCCGTGGCCCGGCACGAACTTGGACTGGCTTGACACGACGGTCTGCGGGCCATGCCAGGCCCAACATAATCATGCAGGCCGTGCTAGGCCTAGGGTTTTAGGTCCACAGGCCGGCACGGGCCAACCCACGGCACGACCCATATATATTATTTATTATATATATATTATATAATATATTAATAAAATAAATATTTGTTTTAATTTTATTATACTAATTTATTTAATTATTGTAGATATAAGCAATTATATACACAAGATTCATATAAAATTAAAATTTTAAGTTTTTTGTCAATTTATTTAAATAAATAGCTTTGACTTGATGCACGGCCCAACCTGGCCCAAGGCTTGGCCCATGGGCCAGCTTGGCCTGCAGCATGACATGGCACAGCACGGGTCTGGACCATGGGCCATGCTAGGCTGACTCCCAAATTTTCACCGGAGAGGGAGAAGAATTCCTTTCCCCAACGGAAATCAGATGGGGGGATGATTTGGAGGTCGGGGTCGGGATGGGGAATGTAATCCCCGCCGAGAACCCGCCCCGTTGCCATTCCTATGCCGCCGGCCGGTTCAGTACTTGTATCGACCCAGCTGTCAATTCACACTTGTACATCGGTTCTTCTATTCTTCAATCGAAGAATACTCTTTGTCCGTTTCGCCTTTGAACTAGACTGCTACTCTACAATTAACCCATTTCCACGTGGCAACTTTCCTTGCAATAGCCACGTGTCGTGTGGCACAGTGGCCAAAGAGTCCAGAGGCGTACCACACAGAGACATGCAATTCCTTCGATCGTGGCGTCCAACTTGGGACTTGCCTCTCGCAGATAATTCCTGGGTTGATGGAAATTATCTACAAATGACTTACTGCATGCATTTAGGGTTTTATTTTATCACCTCGATTCCATACTGACTTTTCCTTTCTTCGCTAACACTAATTACAGACAACTGAAGATAAGTCAATTAAGAAGACCAAGACAATGAAGACCTACAAACTCTTATTATCTCTCACAGTCACGGTAGTGTTAATCGTCTCCAATATTTCTTTCCAAGCCCAAGCACGGGCTCCTCCTCCGATAACCAATGCAACTCTTGAGAGGGTAAGCTCTTCTCTGAAAAGGTTCGTTGATAAACTACCACAAATGCCAAAGCTCTACGGTTATTCCAGGATTTTTCCCATTCCCGCAAGTCTCACCATCGGCATGTATCAGAAGAAATGGGTACTTAATTAACACCACTCCTCCTCTCTGCTTCTTTCTCATGTCTGACGCAACGTAACTTTTATGCTACAGAAGTTCCACCGGGACTTGCCTCCGACGACGGTCTTCGCTTACGGAACCTCCCAAAAGACCGCTACTGTTCCGGGTCCCACAATCGAGACACTCCGCGGATTACCAACTCATGTGACGTGGCAAAATCATCTCCCTCGAAATCACATACTCCCATGGGATCGAACCATCCCCACCGCCATCCCCAAGCACGGTGGCATCCCCACCGTCGTCCATCTCCACGGCGGTGTCCACCAGCCACAGAGTGATGGCAGCGCCTTTGCCTGGTTCACCTCCGGCTTCAGAGAGACCGGACCGGCCTGGTCCCAGAAGACATACACCTACCCGAATGTCCAACACTCCGGGAACCTCTGGTACCACGATCATGCGCTTGGCTTGACACGTGTTAACCTCCTAGCTGGCTTGATCGGTGCTTATGTCATCCGTGACCTTATCTTGGATGGTATTCTGGACCTCCCACGTGGACCCGAATTTGACCGGCACTTGGTCGTTTTCGATAGGAGTTTCTCCACTGATGGATCCATCTACATGAACTCCACCGGCAATAACCCGTCAATCCATCCCCACTGGCAACCGGAATACTTCGGAGACGCCATTATCGTTAACGGCAAGGCCTGGCCGTACCTTAAGGTTCAACGTCGGAAGTACCGCTTCAGGATCATAAACGCCTCCAATGCACGATATTTCCGATTCTCATTATCCAACGGTCTCCCGTTTGTCCAAGTAGCATCGGACTCATCCTACCTGCCCTCACCCGTCCACACACCAAAGATACTCCTGTCACCATCTGAAATTGCTGACGTGGTCATTGATTTTTCAAATTCAACAACGAAACAGGCGGTGTTGACCAACGATGCCCCATATCCATACCCCACCGGTTCAGCCGTGAACCAGCTAAACGGGAACGTCATGAAGTTTATAATTGCACCGACACGTCCATCCCGACCGGACACATCAAGGGTGCCGGCAAATCTAGTGAAATACCAAACGGCGACAACCGATGGGGCAGAACATACAAGGTACATAGTATTGTATGAGTATACCAGCAAATCCGGAAAGCCCACACATCTCTACATAAACGGGAAAAGGTTGCTGGATCCGGCGACAGAGACGCCAAAATCCGGCACCACTGAGGTGTGGAAGGTGATCAACTTGACCGGCGATAATCACCCACTGCACCTACATTTAGCTTCGATCCAGGCAATCAAGGTGCAGAAGCTGGTGAATTTGAAGAAGTTCAAGGGCTGCATGACTACCAAGAATGATGCAGTCGCCTGCAATGTGACTCACCATGCAACTGGGAGGTTGCTTGCCATACCTCCTTATGAGAGAACATGGAAGAACACTGTCAAGATAGAGCCCGGATACCAGACAACGGTAGTCGTCAAATTTAATCTGGTTGATACCGGCGCGCCTTATCCGTTCGACACTACCGCAAAACCTGGATACGTCTACCACTGTCATGTAATATACTCTTACTCTAATTTTCTCTATCTATCTCCTCTTCACATAGTTCGTAGGACAACATACACAGACCTTTTCTGTCAAATGGATATAAACGAAACGAACAGAACTGACATCTGCTGCATCCTCGAACTCACACAGCTAGAGGATGTGGGTTCGATCGAATTAAACAAACCAGCTCACATATGGTGATTGACTGATTTTTTTCGTGCAGATTCTGGACCATGAGGACAATGCTATGGTACGACCAATGAAGCTGGTTACATAATATAGAAAGTTGGGAAAGAGAACAAATAAAGAATATGTTTGTTTTATTCCATTGTTCTAACTTCTAATTAAGTGTATAATTCTATAATCTCGTTCTCGTATATATAGATGGATGTTTGGTATTCCTAAAATTAAAGGTACTCAAAACTTGTATTATGCAATTCTTATGTTCGCTCTAGTTGTGGAATTAATAAAAGTTCTGATTGATTAAAGATCAAAAAAAATTTGGTGGTCTCTTTCTATTAATTATTAAATGTCCAGACTCCAGGAATGATCAGATGTCTCGCCAGCTTTCCTTACTTTGAAGACGTTCTTATTAAATAATAATTTAAGTGCAAGCTGGGGGTAGAGGTGATGAACAGTGATCTGCTTAATTCGGATTAATCGAACGCGATGTTTGTTCTGGAAGCTGTGGAACCAATAAATTGTTCCACACCAGTGATAAATTTATGGGCCTTACTGTAAAAAGGTGTATGTATCAAATATTTTTATTACTGGCGCAAACCATATCACCACAACGGCATGTGTAAGGAATACTAGTGTGTTGATTCATGATTGGTTACCTAGCCTAATTTACACGCCAGCATTGGCCGCAGATCTCGTCCCATAAAAAGAAAAATTTTATCATGAAATATCTATTTCCGGCTTTTCAGGGTTGATGATAAGGCCACACGGCCCACGCTTCCTTGTTTTCTCGAAATTTTTGAGTGTGGGATGAGGTGGTTTAAACATTCACCCTAAAAAGAGTAAGTTAATGAAAGGAGAAAAGTAAATTAAGGGGGTATTCTATAGCCTAGATGAGAAATTGGGTGGTGTGTGGTGTGGCACTCCAAATAAGTTAGTTGTTCTTCACCGTGGACAATGATGTGTAGATTGAATCACACCATACTTATGCATGCGTTCTACAAGGTTTGCTGCATTTCAATCCACACCTTGTGTTATGATTTCATGCATCTCAATTACAACATGGGTTAACACACGATATAGCAGTAGTGGGAAATCGGGAATGCATCTCCCAAAATCCAGTTAATTTTACAATAGCGGGTGCATAAAATCTTACCAATGGTGACGATAGTTGCAGCAGCAAATAACGAGGGTAGGGGTGCAAATGGATTGGATCATGATCCGATCCAATCCAAGATTTGATCATATTTGGTGGAATTCAGATCACCCCTGTTTGAATCTTTGAGTCGGATAATAGGATCCGATCAGAAGTTGGATCGGATTCGAGTCACCCCTATATGATTCGAGAAGATCTGATCCGATATATATGTTATATATTTTTTATATAAATATATATAATACATATATTTATGCTATTTAATTACAAATATATTATTTATATTGTATTTTTGTAATTTTGTTATATTATTTATCTTTTATAAAAAAGCATGTATATATGTTGAAAATAATTAAAAATTACTTGTATTTTTGTTTTTCTTTATTTAAATTGGTATATTTATTTTTATTTTAATAATTTATTATTTTTTAAAGAAAACAAATCGAATTGGATTAGATCCGAATATCCGACTTCCCGATCGAATTTGAATTCAAATCCTTTCCTATCAGAGTAGATCGGATCGAATCTGCAATGAACAATGTCGGATCATATTCGGATATACCTTGAATCGAATTCGATCTGATTCGTTTGCATCCCTAACGGGGCAAGAAATGGTGAGCTTCTACCCAACAACAGATTAGCAGCAGAAAGCCTTGTAATGACCAATGAAACCAAACGTGAGAGGGAAATATTGCACAAAAAAATTAAAACAAAATGATAATGGAAAACGGAAATGAATCACTTACCTCTAACTAGGGTTGTTCACAGGTCGAGTTGGGCCGGTTTACTGATGTTTTTCCAACTGATCCGACCTGGTCGGGTTACCTGAAATTGAAACCGAAACTGACCCTGTGTTAAGCAAAACCGACCTGATCGGTTTGAGTCGGTTTGGGTCGGTTTCAGCTCTACGTAGTGGTGACTCAATTGCTGTTCATTTTTGGCTCTACATTCCCAAAGGAAACCGGCATTTCCTTAATGTTTTGTGGCCCATCTATGGATCCAAATTTTGTGGAGGGAGCAAAGTTTGAGAGTACTATTTGCTGGAGTAAGATTTCAATTTGTAGGAAACTATATAATGGATGGATCAAACTATCAAAGCCGGCCAGATCCAACAAAAGCTAAGAAGATGCTCTCTGCTACTGTAGATAAATGGTGGTGAAATACTGAAATTTAAGGCAAACATTTATTCATGTACTCTTTTTTTATTCATTGATGGAGTGATGGGTCTTGGGTCATCTTTAATGTTTACAACATACCTCCTGATGAACTCGGTAGTGAATAATAAGTAGGTTGTAACTACTAACTAGGAACTAACTACTAAGTCGGTTCGGGTCAAATCGGTTTCGGTTTTCACATATGAAAACTGAAATTGAACTGAATCATCGGTTTAGGATTTTTTTATAACCCGAAACCGACCGGTGCTGAAGAAAACCCGGCCGACTCGGGTTGGTCGGTTTGGTCAAGTTGGGTCTTCTTATGAACAACCCTACCTCTAACAATCCAATGATGTAGTGGTGTGCGGAGTAGCAATAGTGCCCGATGTGAGATAGAGAGATAGTAGACATGAGCCTCACAGTGACGAGCCCTACATGCAACGATAATATGTTGAGAGTGCGAAGCATGGGAAGACACACTATAAAGTAGTGCAAAGCATGAAAACATATTGGAGATAATTGTCCACGGTAGCAATGGATTGTCCATGAGAAATAATCGTGGACGACATTTTGCCTTGTGGTGTAGGCCAATCCACGGTATAGTGTGGTTTGGTCTACACCACGGTGCAACCGAACCACTGGTTTTGGGGTGGCACGTTTGAAAAAGCAATATCTTGTGGTGCATCCACACCACCTAAGTTGTTGCAAAGGTGATGTGATAATTAGAGTTGTGAAGCCACCTCTAATTAACCTGCCACAGTGTCATGGATGCATCCATTAACCAACTCCATCCTTGTAAAAGCATGTTACCAGTTCCATGGGGCTCTACTCTTATCTTATGTATGAATGACCAGTGGCTTAAAGCTTTAAATCTTAGTTCTCCGCTTCAAATGCTTATAAATCATATAATCAAGCTGACAAGGCAAACTCTTCAAGAGGGTGGTGGATCCCAATTCTTTAGGGTGATTGGGCCATTTGTCAATTTCCACGTATTCATGGGACCCACAAGAAATGTTTTTTCATTATTAAAATAAATTTCTAATTGGAGGAGAAATTCTTTAAGGTGCATGCTTGCTAGCTTAAGAAAAGGTTTTATCTTAACGTTAGAAAGGCATCCACCTTTTGAAGGAAATTAAGGGGGTGTTGTAATGTGGATGAGAAATTGGTGGATGTGGACTGGTACACACCACACCACAGTTCACAGGTATTTTGAACTATAGACAAATTATGTGGATTGGACTAGTTCACACCCACAGTGGCATTCTGTAGGCTTGGTGTGGAGAGTCAACACCACACCATTTGATTCCATGTATCCCATATATATTTTATGAATGATCTACATAGTTAGTCATAAATATCTAATTTTTGCATTTTATATGATAAATATATTGAAAAAAGCATCAATAAATTAATATTAACCAATACATATTAATTTTAATAAAAACAACAGTAAATTAATTAAAAATAAAAATATATGTTTTCAATATTTAAAATATTATTTTTATTGATAAAAACATTAAATAATTAAAAAATTAATAGTTTATTGATAAAAATATTACAAAATAATATTTAAATAAATTATTGCAAGATAAGCATAGCATCAACCGATTTGTGCAAACTAATAATCGATTGATTCCCATACTAGTTGTAAGATAAGCATAGCATCAAAATATTGGTCGACTAGTTTCCTAAAATGTTGCATGGATAAGCCACCACACTTACAATTAGTACTTAAACAAAAATAAAAAAAAAAACCACCATTATAAGAGAGATAAGAAGAAAAGTGCAAAGTATGTTACACCCACAACATGCAAGTAACATAGTATCCGACTTGTGGAATTTGGTATGCTTTCGTACTGCATGGAATCCTACGTGTTGATGATGGGTCATATAATCTCTATGTGGGGCTACCTGAGCATCATGTTCAGTTAATTCATCTACCTATTGAAATGAATTTGGGTAATTCTCCCATTTTGGGCCACAAAAGAACTAGCACTGTAATTGGCATTGGATTTTGCCATGACTAATTCCATCGACCCTTTACCGCATGAGCACATTGGTGTGCATATATGTCTGGCCATTACTGTTCCAATTTATCAATATAAATACAATAATGAGATAGGATTACTTCACATAAATAAAGAAAACAAATCAAATGTACCACAAATAAGTTCAAAATGGTTCAAACATATCCAATATGTTAATCATATTATTTGAAAATTGAATTAAAACTAAAGCTGAAACAATTCAATTTCGTGTTATACACATCATATTTGCAATATTGTCCCTAATATTGGTTATTTGTATATTTGCTTGTTCATTTTCCCCATCAAAATCACTCTCATTGGTGTCATTTGAATCCTTAATAGTCATGTCTTCAACTATTCATCAATCGATGTCTTTATCGTGAATGGCGGTTCCTACTGAATAAAATTGAAAGTGATGATGCATACCATTACGATGTATCATTGCATTCGTAAATTGAAACGTGGCATATTCTATAAGATAGGAAATTTTTCCTTCAATATCCCAAAGTGTCTCTCTCTAACATTTCTTAGTGATGAGTGCCTGTAATTAAACAATTCATTCTTTAATTGAAATCTTCTTCTTTTCCCTCTAAAGACATTTAGATAATATCGTTCACCAGAATAAGGTGTTAGATATTCAGGTCCACCAGGAAATCTAGAATTCACAAGATAATATTTCCCTACAAAAGCCATATGCAATTGAATGCATTAGACATAGGCAAATAGACTTATACTAACTAAAAATGTCGAAATAAATTAC